AAAAAAAAAAAAAAAGAGAGAGAGAGAGAGAGAGAGACTAGGGTGCAGTCATGGTTTTCAGTTTTAAATGCATTTCAGTCACGATTTCGCGAATGTTGCTCCAAAGCGAGGAAAATCATGAATGTATACAACCCAGCTTTAGGGTTGGGTGGGGATGTGTTGTATTTGAGGGGTGCCTAAGCTGAGCTGAAACGGTTTTCACCTTTTAGCAGTAGCGGATGCAGTACCCAGGGTTCGATCCCTAGACCTCACCCTACCCATGTACAGTATCTGTGTAGACCCCGAGAATTGAACCTGCGACCTGTGTATTCGTAGGCAGTTGGTAGACCTGTCGTAGGTCCATAGACAGCAGGGGTTCGATCTGTAGGTCTATAGCGTAGGAGTCTTAGTGAGTTCTGGAAGCTTAGCTGTAGACCTTCTAGAAGGTAGGCAAGTGGGCAAGTGGTCAAGTGGTGAGGCAAGTGGTGGACTAAACCGCAGTGCAACAGCAGTGCAACGGCGGTGGGATAGCGGTGAGTCCACAGTCAGTAAACGGAAGGTCCAGTCAGTCCCAGTCCGGTCCAGCAAGTACCACAGGGGGACTGTAAGCACCAAGGGCCGATGGCAAAGGGCAGACCAACGAGTTTCTGAAGTATAAATCAAGAGGCAGCGCCCAGCCATTCATTCATTCCTGCGKGAGCCCTGCGGAAGCGCTGCCACAGCGACTTGTGCAAGGAGGTCTGCAGATGAGCCCGGAGGACGCAGTGGGCAAGAGAGAGGGAGTTAGCATAGCGATAGGGTAGATGCAGCGACAGCTGCCATAGCTGTAGTTAGTAGTGAGTGTGTGTGTGTGTTYGAGTGTTAGAGTGATGTGTGTGGGATATCCAGGGTGATCCAGTGTATGTGAACAGTGAAATGTTTGGGCGCTGAAGTCGCCATAGCCAATTGAAAGTGAACTCGTATTTGAAAGCCATACATCTGAGTTTTGAGTGGCCGCAGTTCGCCAGTATGCTGCGTTGCTGTTTACATGCATGAAAAGTGTGTTTGAGAACGAGTCTGATTGCAGAGCTGCATTTCAAACTGAAAATGAGACGGCGCCGTAGTTACCCTCCCCCCCCAAAAAAAGAACAAAGAGTCTATAGCCCTCTTTCTCTTTTTTGGAGTTTTTCTTTTTTGCGAGGCCCAAGGCCTCGATCTGCCCTATTGGGCCCTATTTTCTGTACAGTCGGCCGCCCTAAGTGAAGGCAGGGTCGACCCAGGGCCTACAGGCCTACTTTCGGGGTCACCGCGCAACTGGGCAATTTCAGGCAGTTGCGCAGCGCCAGATGGTTGAGAGCGCCCAGGCCCAGGCTGCCTTTTTCCGTATGTAACTGAGGCAGGCCCTGGGCCAGATACGCAACATGGACCAAACACAGGCCGAGGGCAGTTGGACAAGGGCAACCACCAGAGGCCCAGGGCCTGATTCATTTGGACTGGGGCACAGCCCCTCTGGGCCTACCGGAAGCCTCTGCGGAGGGGCCCAGCGCAGCCAGGCTTCACGCAGCAGGCAGGCAATTTCCATTTAACCACTAGTACCTTTGGCGCGTGGGAAAATAGCGGGCCTCCGGTGGGCCTCCGACCTTTTCGGAGGCCGAAACGAAACGATGGCCGCCGATCAGATTTATCAATGGCAGCTGTCGTCGGGCCCGGCCTCCGAAACTTCAGGAGTTTGGGAAAACGTCCACTTTTCCCTATTTTCCCACGCACCAAAGGTACTAGTGGTTTTTGGAAAGTGCCTGCACACGCATTCCTCATTCGGGCACTGGCTGCATGCTGCGCTAGACGCTGGCCAGCGCTCACGCGCTCACGGGCGAGCTGGATGAGCAGGCGGCCATAGCCGAGCTGCGCTGCTGTATGCTGGATGGGGCGCATGGTTGTCCTTGGGTGCACGTGGCATCTGTGAGTGGGGGATCGAGGTTGTGAGTGATACGAGCGTCATACCTGGTGCTTGAGGCGAACGGCATTGGCCGAGATCTGCTCGTACTTCGGGGAGCTGTTGACGTCACCAGCGGCATTGTAGATAGGCTAGATAGGATCTGCCATTTGTAGTCTGGGCGCAGAGCGCCAGATAGGATACCGACATTGGTTCTTTGTTGATGATGATGAGCCTGCTCCAACATTGTCACTTACGAGCTTTTGCTGTGCTTTTTTTTTTCTTTAATTTGGGGGAACTAGGATATCGACATTGGTTCTTTGTTGATGATGATGAGACTGTTCCAACATTGTCACTAACGAGCTTTTGCTGTGCATTTTTTTTTTTTTTTTTT